ATAAATGACATGTTCAATTGAATCCATAATTTTCGATGCAGAGTAAAATAAAATATATAAAAATTATAAAAATAGTAGATATGAACTCATAATTTTAAAAATATATAATGGATTCAATACAAAAAAAAATTTAAAAAATGAACCCATAGAGTTTAAATTTTAGACAGCCAAAATAATATCAATTTGATGGTGCTAGCTAGGAATATGATTGACAAAAGTATCCTATTCTGGGTTCGCCTGTAGGAATGGAACTTTTTTTCAATACTGTCAGATTGAACAAGCAAACATACATATATCTATCTATATATATAATTAATGTGGATGCAAATCTAATTTCGCTTTTCTTACCATTGCAGATTTAATTTATTATTGAACTTAGTAAAATTGATTATATTCACATGCCATTCTGATGAATTATTTAGCATAAACATTTGAAAACCATTTTGCATGTAAGCAAGTTAATAGTTTAATTAAGAATATGAATAATTTTCCACGTGGTATTTACGAACGAAGTGAAATACATTAATTTTGTTTTTTGAAACGACATCCACCAGATGAGGGTCTTGACTTTCTTGGTTTTGAAAGCTTTTATAACCTGACATGAATTATAAGAGGATTTCACAATATATTCTGCATGTCTGTGCATGTGCTTGAGTTTTGCACGTTCCCTTTGTAAAATCATGGTTTCTCTTTTAACATCGTCCATTGGTTGCACATTAATTTGCTATTTAATTGTGCTTCAACAAATTCTTTGATAGCTACGAATTTTGGACCTTTATTTCAAAAATGGAAAATGATGGTCTATCTTTTCCTATAAGAATAAAGCACATGAAGTATGTTTTAAGCATTTTTGTTTCCAAATATTTTCTTCCTTATTAATGGGTTCGACCGAATATATATATATATATNCGCCCTGATCAGTTTGGTTTTTCACGATGTTAAGATTGACTAAGCATATTTATGTATATCTTGTTAATCTGATAGTTACGATTAGTCAGTTAGCTTAATGGTAGTTTAGTTGCTAGTTGTTAATGAGTTGTTGACAGCTGTTAGGTTAGTCACACTTCTCCACTCACGTGTATATATTGTAATTGCTACAGTGAATGAAATCACTTTTTGCATTCCTACATTCTCTCTCAAATTCCAGAACGTTCTCCTCAGCCATGAGCTAGCAGCCTTAGCTCGAGCTTCCTCTCCAATGGAGTCTACATCTCACAGTCTCTGAATTTCCACATGGTATCAGAGCAGAGCTCTGTTTTCCGCTTTAGTTCTCACTCAATCTTCAATCGATTTCACTGACTCAATAAATCTAGGATTTCCCAAAATCTGGAAATCAATTTTTCTCCCTTTTCTGCGTCAATTTGATTCATTATTTTTCTGTTAGAGTATAATTTCATCTCTCTCTTTCGATACTACAAATCATGGTCGGAGAAGAGGATATTGCTGACCCAACTGTTCATCAATTTGAGAATAACGGACCCAATTTGGTAAGAGATGTCATGGATTCAACTAATCCTCTATGTATGCATCCATCAGAAAATGCCGGATCGACCTTGGTACCAATACCTTTTAATGGAGTAGGATATAGATCCTGGAGAAGAGGAATTCTGCGAGCCCTCTCAGTGAAGAACAAAATAGGTTTTATTAATGGTAAATGTAGAAAGCCTAATGTTGATTCTGTAAATTACGGACAATGGGAAATGTGTGATGATATGGTCACCTCATGGATTTTGAACTCACTTTCGAAGGACATAATAGACAGTTTACAGTATGTAAATGATGCGAAGGAACTTTGACAGGAATTGGAAGATAGGTATGACCAAACCAACAGAGCTAAGATGTATCAATTTCAAAAGGAAATCAATGACTTGACTCAGGGCTCACTGGACATCACTGGCTATTACACAAAGATGAAGAAGCTTTGGGAGGAATTACACACGTTGAATGCGAATACTCAGTGCAATTGCCAGTGCACCTGCGGGGCAAAGGAAAATATGCACAAGACAGAATAAGATAGGAGACTCATTCAGTTTTTTTATGGGCTTAAATGAGGTATATAATGTAGTAAGAGGAAGTATTCTGATGATGAACCCACTGCCCACGATAGCACAAGCCTTCTCTATTCTAATTCAAGAGAAAAAATAACGCGAAGTTAGGCCACACAGTCAGCTAAGTTTAGAATTTATGTCATTAAACGTTCATCGACAAGCAAATAGTGGTTTTAGAACAAATTACAATCAAATGGAAAATAATGCAGGAAATAATGACTATAGATCAGAGAACAGAGGTCCACATTTGTTTTGTGACTATTGCAAAAAAGCCAGGCCACACTAAAGAAAAGTGTTATAGGTTACATGGTTTCCCACAGAACTTCAAGTTCACAAGAAGCAGGAATACAACATCTGCTGCAAATGTTCATCGAGGATCTCAAGAAATGTTGCGTGGAGAGTTTGATGTAGCTGATAATCGAGGTCAGAATCAGAACCACAATGCGCCCAACTTGACGAAAGAACAGTACAATCAGTTGCTGAACCTACTGGAAAAACTTCACTTTGGGACTGTAGCTGAGACCTCAAACAATATCACAAGTGGAGCTGTGAACTTCGCAGGTATATTGGCTTGCTGTACTTATGATGAAATTATTGGTGATCTTTCATATAAATGTTCCCATTTACCTGCTAATTTTTGGATTTTAGATTCTGGAGCCTCGAACCACGCGTTATATAACAAAAATCTACTCACTAATACTAGAACCTTGCCATACCCCTTTTTAGTTACTCTCCCAAATAGATATAGGGTTAAAGTGACAGAGATAAGTGATGCAATTCTTAGTCCAAAGCTGACCTTGCACAGGGTGTTGTTTGTTCCCAGTTTCAAGTTCAATCTCATTTCCATTTATTCATTAACATCACAACTCAAATCCATTATTAATTTTTCTGCATACACATGTGTATTGCAGGCCCCTTCAATGAAGAGGCCTCTGGAGATTGGTAGAGCAAGGAATGGTCTGTATTTCCTCTGCTCAAAATGCCAATCAATTAGTTCAACTTCTTTACTCAGTTCTGGTAGTACTAATTCATGTCACGATGCAAGTATTGTGCAGAATCATTCACCATCTTCATTTCCAATTGTAAATAATTGTCAGTTAAGCAATAAAAGAGTCTATTTTTGTGAGAGCCTCAGTAGTGATTCTGATGTTGTACAAGCTTTCAAATTACCTTCACTTCCTCTTGTAAATAACTACCAATCAGATAATAAGAGAGTTTGTTCCTATATTACTTCTTTGTCTGTCTCAAATCATGAAAATTATGTTGATTACTTGTGGCACAACAGATTAGGCCATGTACCTTTTGTGAAAATGAAGGGGATGTGTTCTATACCAGCTAATTTTGCACCCAAACAACCTTTCCTTTGTTCAGTCTGTCTCATGGCTAGACAGGGCAGACTTTTCTTTCCACAAAGAACCATATCTTCCACCCAAGTATTTGATCTATTATATATAGACCTTTGGGGTCCTTACCACCTTGCCACACATGATAATTATAAGTATTTTTTAACTACAGTCAATGACTGTAGTAGATCTACTTGGACACAGTTATTGAGTTGCAAAAGCAATGCACTAGAAGCTATCAAAACCTTTATTTGCATGGTTGAAAACCAGTTCCAAATGTTAGTCAAGACCATTAGATCTGATAATAGGATGGAATTCACCAGTAATGAAGCCCTGAACTTTTACCAAACCAAAGGGATTATTCACCAAAGAACTTGTCCCTATACACCACAACAAAATGATGTGGTCAAAAGAAAACATAAATACCTTTTAGAGACAGCAAGAGCTCTATTGTACCAGTCTAAATTGCCTTTGAGGTATTGGGGAGAGTGCATCCTAACTGCAACATACTTGATAAATAGACTCCCCTCTACAATACTAAATAACAAGTGCCTATTTGAAATCCTCTACAAACAGAAACCCCTATATTCACATCTGAGGAGCTTTGGTTGTCTATGTTATCCTACCACCCTTAAAACTCACAAAGACAAATTTGAACCAAGAGCCAACCCACACATATTTGTAGGATACCCCTTTGGAATAAAATGTTACAAGGTACTTGATTTGATTAGTAAAAGGATACACATTTCTAGAGATGTACAATTTTATGAACACCTTTTCCCATTTGCTAATTCTCCTAATCATTCCACTTTCCCTTCAGTTTTACACCTGATAACTTACAGTCCAAGTTATGCATCCCCTCTGCCCAACATCATAGATGACTGTGATCAAACTAATACTTTGGATAGTTGTAGCTACAGGATAAGAATCACACACACAACTCTGTCACTGATTCTCCTATATCTATTGATCATGTTGTACCTACTTCCCCACAAAACATAGCCCCTGCACCTTCATGTGAGTCACTCATAACAGATGATCTGAATATTGCCACCAATCATGTACCTGATCCTCCCATCATGTTACCAGAACCTAGAAAATCTACCACACATTGAAGAACAACTCTCAACACACACATTCACTCAATTCCTTTTTCACCAAAAACCAAGATGTCTCCCTGAATACCTTGAGCCAGAACAGTCAGCAGGTTATGAGGAATATTTCACATGACAGTGAACCATGTTCATATGAGGAATCAGCCATAAATCCTTCTTGGTAAGCATCTATGACACAAGAATTTGAGGCTTTGTATGCTAATTATACTTGGGATTTAGTAACTTTGCCTGCAGGAAAGAAAGCTATCGGATGCAAGTGGGTGTACAAGATCAAACACAATACAGATGGAAGCATAGAGAGGTTCAAAGCAAGACTTGTGGTTAAGGATTACACACAGCAAGCAGGGATTGACTACACGGAAACCTTCTCCCCTGTTGTCAAAATGACAACTGTCAGAACATTAATAAGTGTGGCTGTGAAGAAAGTTTAGGACCTTTTCCAATTAGATGTAAATAATGCTTTCCTACATGGGGATTTGCATGAAGAAGTGTACATGGATGTTCCACAAGGTTTACAAGTTGACATACCAGGTATTTTATGCAAATTGAAGAAGTCCTTATATGGACTAAAACAAACAAGCAAACAATGGTATGACAAATTGACAGAATCTCTGTGTTCAAAAGGATTTGTGCATTCAACTAATGATTACTCACTTTTCTATAAGAAGAATGGTTCCTTAACTGTATTTGTGGCTGTGTATGTGGATGATGTAATCCTCACAGGGACAGATTTGGAAGAGATCAATGGTTTGAATAGCTTCCTACATGACAAATTCAAGATCAAATATCTGGGCAAGCTACATTATTTCTTGGGTCTGGAAGTGCTCTATAAGAATGATGGAGTACTTATTTCACAAAGAAAATTTGCTACAGATTTGTTGAAAGAGTATGATTGCCTGGGATATACTACAGTCTTTTTCCCTCTTGATTGCACAGTTAAATTGAAGGCAACTGAAGGATCCATGTTGACAGATCCCACATATTACAGGAAACTTGTGGGGAAGCTCAACTTCCTCACAAACATAAGACTTGACATAACATACAGTGTGCAACATCTAAGTCAGTTCATGCAGTCACCAAGAGAACCACACCTTAAAGCTACATTACATATTCTTAGGTAACTAAAAGTTGATCCCACACTTGGTGTTTTCTTGTCCAACAGTCTTGACTGCACCTTAAAAGCATATTGCGACTCAGATTGGGCTGCCTGTCCTGATTCTAGGAGGTGTGTGAGTTGCTATGTAGTTCTTCTTGGAGAGAGTGCCATCATCTGGAAATCAAAGAAACAAGACATAGTTTCTCTGTCGTCTGCAGAAGCTGAATATAGATCAATTCGAAAGGTAGTTGGTGAGTTAATATGGATAAAGAGATTGTTGGAAGAATTAACTGCTACATGCCAAAAACCTATTCCTATTTTCTGTGACAGTCAAGTTGTTGTACACATGGCAAGGAATCCTGTGTTTCATGAGCGTACAAAGCATATAGAGGTTGATTGTCATTTCGTAAGAGATAAGATACAAGATGGGTTGATCACTCTTCATCACATCTCAACAAATGATCAACTGGCTGATATTCTAACTAAGGCTTTGACATGCATCAAACATACCAGCATCCTTGGCAAGTTGGCAGTGAATTCTTCCCCACCAACTTGAGGGGGTGTTAAGATTGACTAAGCATATTTATGTATATGTTGTTAATCTGATAGTTACGGTTAGTCAATTAGCTTAATGGTAGTTTAGTTGCTAGTTGTTTATGAGTTGTTGCTGGCTGTTAGGTTAGTCACACTTCTCCACTCACGTGTATATATTGTAATTGTTATAGTGAATGAAATCACTTTTTGTATTCCTACATTCTCTCTCAAATTCCAGAACGTTCTCCTCAGCCATGAGCTAGCAGCCTTAGCTCGAGCTTCCTCTCCAATGGAGTCTACACCTCACAGTCTCTGAATTTCCACACACGAAACTGCAATTATAAAGCGTTTTCATTTTCATTTTGGGCTATTTTGTGTTTGTTTTTGTTACCTTTTAAGGAAGCCTGGTATATAATGCTGACTGACTGCGTGAGAATTAGTTAGGTCATGGCTAATAATTAATAACTCTGCAACTCATTTTATAGAAACTTAGTTCAAGATTAACATAAGGCTTGTTGCATATCACTACAGTAAATCAGTAATTAAATTTTAGTTTCATTATTGTTAATACCAAGTAATTGGTGGTGTTCAAACAAGAGAATATCTCCTGCTAGATTTTATACTTATTCAATTTTATCGCAAAAATTGTGTGGCAATATATAATATAAAATGAGATTATACCAACATGGATTATCTTTCATGAGCCAATCAGAAGATATATAATAAGGCTCTGTTACCGATGGATCAAGATATGTTGCCTACTTATCATGTCAAAGGCGTTATTGTTAGATATACCAACGTGGATTATCTTTCAGGAGCCAAAACATAAGATATATATNAACGTGGATTATCTTTCAGGAGCCGAAACAGAAGATATATATTAAGGCCCTGTTACTGATGGATCAAGATATGTTGCCTGCTTATCATGCCAAAGGCGCTGTTGTTAGATATACCAAAGATATCCTGACTCTAAACGGGATTCTTGAAATGCTAAAAATAGTTCTTATGGTCCTCAACCACCCTTCCTTCTCCACTCTTTTCTTCAAAAACTTAAGCTACTTATACTGATCCTTTGTTTTGAAAGAACTCTTCAAGGACCAAGCGATCCCTTTTCTTCATACTTCATATAAATAAATCTAAAACCCCAGAGTAGTAAATGTCATATGATGCTGCTTAAATAAGGAAATAAGGATACGACGACATTACTTTATAGGATAGACCTTAACAGAAATTGAAGAAATATATGTCATAAGTTCAATAAATTATTTATTTTAGAGATATAATAATTGTTTACCCGAAAAATTGGATAACGTTAAATTTAGATATGGTTCTAAGGGTATGCAAATTCCTTTGATACAAAATGACAATATAAGTATTTTTGCTGTAAAATGAGAATGATGGACGGGAAGATTGAAAAATGTATTAGAAAAACAAGCACAATAAAATCTTAATGTATCTTGGAGGACCTGCGTCTATTGCAGTTTATCCCCCTTTTATAGTAGAGGATCACTGCTTTATCTATAACAACATAATAAAATAATACATATAGTGAAGGACCCATGATGGTTTGTCTCTTCCTTGATTCTCGCCAAGATTCTCTCTCTCGGTGCGGTTGTAACGGCTCTTGTCTGCGAGCTTGGCACCGGCTCGAGCTCGGTGTTAGATCGAACCCCCAGTCTTGGTTCGAGCTCAGTTCCACCTTGGGTCATCGATATTCGGGGCCTGTGTCGATCGGTGTTGTCCCGTAGTCCGATTCGGACACGGGCTCGATAATGATATCGAGTTTTCTTGTTGATTGGTCTTATAGCTCGAAGCTCGACATCCCTACTTTGGGATTCGTCTGAGCTTGTCATGTGGATACCCTTCGATTGAAACATCATTATCTTGAACGGTCTTTATGACTGAGAATAGGTTTTGACCGTACACAGATAGTCCCCTCGTTTCTCGAAAAGGATGTGGCGAGGAACGATATGATTTTCCTGCGGCTCGATCAAATTTATGCTGATGTTTCTATCAAACCCGATCTTGACGTATGTGATAGCTGTCACGTCGGCTCGGTTTTGCCGAAGCTTTTGCGCCTTCTCTTCTTCCAAACTTTCTTATTTGTCCTCTCTATTTCGCTGCTACGGGGCCGTCCATACCAGAATTTTGGTGCTATCTATTTCTTCACATTCCTTTGCGTTCTTCCCTTTCATATCAATGGCAAAAACTTCCAAAACCATACCTCAGAAAGAGAAAGCTTCTTCCTCATGGCCGTCTGATGATAAGGCGCCGATGGAGCCGTCAGTTCATGACTATGTTCCTGGCCCGTGCAGTTTGAAGACCGATTTTAAGGTGGAGAATCCTTCCTCCGTTCCAGGTCGATGTGAACACGTATTGATGTATACGCGCTCTATAATAGAGGATCACCTCGAGGCCGTCAGAAACGACTGCAACTGGGGTTCCGAGGTTAGTGTTGCAAATTCCATCTTCCGATGAGAGTGTTACCACTTCGTGGAGGGATTTTTAAGTGTTTATACTTATCTCTTCACACTGGGACCCGTCGACTCGGTGATTATTGATTTCTGCAAAAGGTATCAAGTCACCCTTGGCCAAATTCATCCCTCTTTATGGCATATAGTGATCTTATCGCGCTTCTTCTCTATCAAAGCCGGGGGGTTGAATTTTTCTCTGAACCACCTCATATGACTGTATCGGCCTCAGATCTTTCGAGGACTAATCATACTTCATCGTCGGGCATCTAAGGCTTTGATGTCGAGCATCGATGAAGATAAGGATCGGGGTTGGATGGGTCGTTATATTCGAGTGAGGACCCGTGATCTCATTCCGGAGGAGAAGATGTCGTTCCCTGAAGAATGGAATTTTGACCGTAAGTGATTTTTGTTCACTTTTCATGTCCTTTTTCGATTTTTTCTGATGTCCTTCCATGATGTTCAGCTGCCCCTTGGATGCCACACGCGGTGCCTGACCTCGAGGACTGGGTTCGGAAGTTAGCCTCGACCTCCTCTTACGCCGAGCGCGCTTGGCGTGATTTGGCAAAAGGTAGATGGGAGGCCAAGAACCATGGTGAGGTTTGCTTTTTGTTTCCTTCGAAGTATTCTTTGCGTTCTACTCGTTACCGATTTCCTTTTGTACAGGCGTAACCAGGGATGCCGCTTTGAGGCCTTTGAGCGGTGAAGAAGGAAATAAGTTCCTAGTCCCTAAACAGGGGGAAGATAAGAAGCAAAGAGCTTCCTCTCGATTAGAGGACCCCAAGCCCAAAACTCGAAGAGTGAGGAGAAAAGCAATTGCCCTTTCGATTGACTCGGTCCACTGACTGAGAGAAGAAGAAGAAAAAGAAGAAAATAGCTCCTCGGCTTTGGTAGTCCGATCTACGGAGGCCATCGAGGTTGCCAGAGCTCCTGAGCCGATGGCGGTTGTGCCTGTCGGGATTGTTTCCGAAGACCTGAGTCTCGACCTGAGTACCCCGAGTGATTTGCTCGGGGCTATGACAATGGGTCATTCACCTTCTCTTCCATCTTTTTCTGAGGAGGTGTTGAAGGAAGCTAGAGAGTTGAAGATGCCCGATATCGGCACAGGCTCTGGTGCAGGGGATCCTTTTAGGGATTATTTTACTAGAGTCGACGATGGTTCCGATAATGGTGACGCTTCTCTTTTATTAGAGGAGGCTCATCATTTCATTACTCGGGTAATGATTCTTCCATACTTGGTTTCTTTGTTCATTTCCATACTTGACTCGTGTTTCTTACTGTGCAGGCCATTAGTAGGTTTCGAGTCGATCATAGCCAGTGTGAGGCCGAGCTCCGGAAGGTCTCAGGTGAAAGAGATGCCATGCGGCTTATTTGCAGCCAAAAGGACGAGGCTATAAAGGACCTCCAAGCGAATTTGGCTAAGGTCCGTGAAGAAGGGGTCGAGCTCGATAAGCAGGTGAGCCTCGTTCTGTTAAAGTATGGGTTTGACTCAACCGTGGAAGTTAACCCTTCGTTGTCTCAGTTACAGCAAAAGATTGAAAAGATCGAGTTACTTCGAGAAGAAGTCGATCAAATCCGAGCTGAATGCAAAAGGTGGAAGGAGACCCTCGACCGCCTGGTAGCGGAAAAAGAAACCATCTTAACAAAATTATTATCGGTGGATGTTCAACTTCGAAGTGTCAAGCAAAAGGGCTCAGTTCAAGCTAAGAGGATCGATGAGCTTGAAACACGACTTGCTGAGGCTAAGGCGGAGGTTGAGTCATCGAAAGTCTTGGCGGATAAGTCCATTACTGTATATCGGGCTGATGCTGAGGCTGCTCAGATGGAGGCCCGAGAAGCGGCAAAGACCGCCGATACTCAAGCTTATTGGGTTGCCGAACTTGCCAAGTGTAGGTATCGGAGGGAGACCGTCGAGGAGATACACGCTCGAGGTTTCGACCTTACCGAAGAGGTAAAAAAGGCCAAAGAGCTCGAAGCGGAAGCTGAAGCCTTGGCTTCTGATGATGATGGTAGCAAAAGCGGATCTAAGGACAGGGAAGAGCTTGACCAGGAAGCTTAGTTTCTAATTCTTCATGTTCATAAATTAATCATGTAGGAAATTTTTGTATATATATGTATAACGAGGTCGACTTGTTTTTGTTTTGTGAAGACTTTTAATCGAATGTTGACCTTATAGTCTCTCTGATCGATCAGATTTGTATCCCCTGGGTTTGCTTGTTGAGTCGATGATTCAAACTTTGAAGGAAAATAATCCGTAGGTGTAATGTAATGGTTGAGTTAATGTAAACTCAGAGTAAAAGTAGCTTATTAGCCGTTGAGTGAATGTTTTGAACTTGAAATATTGTAGCCCGTAGGCGTAATGGTCGAGTGAGTGCTTGCTCGAACTCGGAATAATAGTAGCCCGTAGGCTTAATAGTCGAATGATTGTTCCAAACTTGAAATATCGTAGCCCATAGGCATAATAGTCGAGTGAGTACTTGCTCGAACTCAGAATAACAGTAGCCCGTAGGCTTAATAGTCGAGTGAATATTTTCGAACTCGAAATATCATA